TTTAAATGCTTGACGATATTAAACAGTTGAAATTTCAGCCATGCAAAACAAATTATAGGAATAGTATGGGGACTCTTATTAAAAATTTTATTTTATACCTTTTTTCCTGGAGTAAGCTAGTAATAGTGCATTGACAAATGAACAATGATCAGCGACTTGGTACACAAATAACATAAACGCATTTTGCCTGTCAGGAGTGGGGCCTCTGGGGTAACAAACTGTGCTGCCCTCAAGCTTTTGTCTTCCAGAAAGTAATTCTTGCCCATCTCTCGAATTACATTCTCAGATTCTGCATGCGTTGTAGAAATGAAATCTTTTAAAAGCACAATATTATTGTAGAACAGGACGGCCCTGAGTGAAGTCACGAGTGGATGATAAGCCAGCTGGAGAAAGGAGGCAAGTCATGAAAATCACAATGTATGGAGAGGACTTTGGAAATTTTGCTGTTTCTTGATCAATATTCAACACATGGATTTTACTGGTGCAATACTGTGGGCACAAACAGACCCACGAATGCAGGTGAATGTAGATTTCTACCACTTACTTAAATCCATTCCAAAATACTACAAAAATGCCATTACAATTAAGTATGCAAATTTTAGTATCTTTGTGGGTGCATACACGTGTGTGCGATAACGTAACTATGCCATTTCTATTTAAGTCATTAGTTGAATTGGGGCATATTTTCATTTGTGCAGTTTTATTGTAATGAATTGTGGGCACTTCAATACTTTCCTGTGAATCAAACTTAAATTTGATTGTTCTAGAATACATCCCACTTAGGTGTTGATGCTGAAACCGTTAACAATTGTTTACCAAGCCTGCTATCCAAATCAGTGCAGATCATTCATTAATCACAAGGAACTTACATTTTATGATTCCCGTTTCCTCCTCTCAAGGGTTCTCACCTCTCTTCTCCCTGTCTCTCTACTCCCCCCTCTTGCTCCATCAGCAAGCACGCGCGCGCGCACACACACACACACACACACACATCACACGTGCATATACGCGCCCTCACACACAGAATGGCCCCTGTGTCTGCGAGGCCAGCTCTGCAGGCCCCAGCCCCTCCCTTTGGGGCTCATCTGTGGGAGTTGCTGTTGTAAATGCTAGAAGTCTGGGAGGCCCGGCTGCATCACCACTGAATGTTGGCGATTCGAGGCACCGAGGGACATGCCACTGCATAAGGTGGCCTGGACTGCAGGCCGGTGGGCAGGCGGGCTCTGCCAGTGTCTTGCTTGAGTCCATCCTCCCTGCGGAGTCATTGCCAGGAGCAGCACATTGTGGCCAGGCGCCTGGTGGGAGAAGCTGGGCACCCCCCACAGGTCACAGTGCCTGGGTCTGCATCATCGCTCCTCCAGGGACGCCCCTCTCCGGTGCCAACCCTCCCACCCGTATTTCTACTGTTCCCTCCCCGTACCATCAATGCCTTTTGGAGTCAAAGCTTTTTGGATTTCTATTCCCAGATCAACTTACTGCAACTATGGCCCACCCAGAGAAGCTGGAGGGAATAACAGAGTTTGAAAAATTAAGAGTTGAACTTTTTAAGTATAAAATAAAAAAAAAAACAATAGTGAGTTTTAAATCGCCATACAGAAGACTCTTCTGAAGTCTTCCCAGAGGTAGCCCTTGGATCTTGATTCAGAAAATCTATCGACACCCTGCGAGTGAATACCCCCAAACGCATCCACCAGGAAGTTCCCAGAAACGCACATGGTTTGTAACGCGCACGCATCTGGAACCACCGGAAGGGAACCCACAGGACTCTGGATTCGGGGCGTAGTGCTCAGGTGCCTCGTCGGTTGAAAACGCATCCCCAACACGTCCGCACGTCCGAATGCGTGGTGTGTGTATCCGTGTGTGCGTAAACAGCTTCCCGTAACCGATCTATTGCAGCCCAGTCCTTGGAGAAGAGGGGCGACAGTTAGCTGCTAGGATGGTGATTCAGGGCTATTAGGGGCGAATGACCCGTGTCCGAGTCATCGCGAGCCTCCAGACTTTCCCCGCAGTGTGGCAGAACTTTGTGCCGACGAGACAATAGTGGAGCGTGTGCGTTTCCTGCAGGGCAGACCATTCCGGGGCCGGGGGAAGCCTCGGGCCTGCGCCCGGCCGCGGGGGCCCGGCACCCTCTCGGCGCCGCGCAGGCCCCGGAGCCCGGCTGGCGCCGGGGTCCCCGCGGGGCGGGCGCGTCCCGGGCGCGCGCGGACGGCGCGGGGAGGGAGCCGGGCGCGTGGCGGGCCCCGCGCGCCCTCGCGCGTCCCCCGCGCCGGGGCGCAGCTGGCGCGGTCGGTCTAGTGCAGCGCTCGGCTCCGCGCCTCGGGCGCTTGGCTTCACCTTCAGAGGCGCGGGGCGTGCGCGTCCTCCTCCCTGGGCCCGCCGCCTCCCCGCCAAGGTAGGGCCGGATTGGGGTCGCTGCGGAGCCCGCGGGGCGCGGGGGGTGCAGGGTCCCCGCCTGGACGCGCCGGGGCCCCCGGGGCGCCACGGGGTGGGGGCAGTGGGGAGGGGCTCTTGGGCTCGGGGAGGGCGGCTTGGCTTTCCCCGTCCGTAGTTGCTCCGCTCGGCAATTCCAGGATAGGGGAGATGCAACTTCTCGCGGCGAGGCGAGCGCCCAGGAGGTGGTTTTACCGCAGTGGAGGGGCGGGGTGGGGGCCGGGGTGGGAGCGGGGAAGAGGCTCCGGCTTTGTACACTTCGTCAAAGGCGACGCGGGAGGAGGGGAGCTCGGATGCGCTCTCCATCCATTAGGAGACAAAGAGCAAATTGCCTTACTTTAAAGTAAAACGCTCCAGCTAATGAAGGTGGGTGATGGGACTGCGAGGCCCAAGGAGTTGCTTCAATTATGAGGGTTCGGCTGTTGGGATTGATGCCTGTGGGCACCGCGCCGCTGCCTCGCGGACGACTTGCGGGTGGGGGTGGTGTTCTCCCCCCCACCCCCACCCCTGGCTGCTCGCCGGTCAGCTGGGAGCGTGTAAGTGACCCTTACGTTAAAGAAGTGAGAGCGCCGGAGAGGAAGTTGTAGCAGGGGTGGGTGGGGGGCGCGGGTTCGCGCAAGGACTGCGCGACGGGTGGGGCGGGGGCGGAG